AATGCATGCACACACATGTGGCTGTCAGCCATTTCTGTGACATGATGGGTGTGAGGAAGGCAGAGGTGTGAGGAATACACACGTCCTGACAAAACCATGAAGGTCTTCTCACTTTCAAAGCACATCAGGCAGCTCTCCCTCAGCTCTCCCTGGAGTCCATGTCCTTCCCCAGCAACCTCCTGAATGCCCTCTTTATCTCCTTATTCCTCAGGGTGTATATGAGAGGGTTAAGTGAAGGGGTGCCTACTGCATAGAAGAGACCAAAGAACTTGCCCCTCTTCTGGGCATAGGGATTTTTGGGCTGGAGGTAGACAGCCATGGCTGAGCTGTAGAAGAGGGTGACCACCGTGAGATGGGAGGAGCAGGTTCCCAGAGCCTTCCTCCAGGCTGTGGCAGAGTTAATCCTGAGCACTGCCCGAGCAATGGCTCCGTAGGAAATCAGGATGAGGCTGAGGGGCACGACCAAGATGAAGATACTGGCGACAGCCATCTGGATCTCATTGTAGCTGGTGTCCCCACAGGAAAGTCGAATTAGAGCCGGGACCTCACACACAAAATCATCCACCTGCCGGTGGGAGCAGAAAGGCAGGCGGAGGGTGGGTGGTGTCTGGACCACAGACTCCACCAGCCCAATGACCCAGGCCACGGCCGCCAGCTGCCGGCAGAGGCGAGGGTGGATGATGGTGGTGTAGTGGAGGGGCTGGCAGACAGCCACGTAGCGGTCAAAGGCCATCACTGTCAAGAGGACACATTCGGTGGTCCCTAGGAACAGGAAGGTGAAGAGCTGGACTGAGCAGCCTAGGAAGCTGATGGTCTTGTTTGGGCCCCAGAGGTTGACCAGCATCTGGGGGACACAACTTGTGGTGAAACAGAGGTCCAAGAAGGAGAGGTTGGAGAGGAAAAAGTACATTGGGGAGTAGAGCCTGGGCTCCAGCATGGACAACAGGATGATGAGCGTGTTGCCCACCAGAGTCATGAGGTAGGAAGCTAAGACGAGCACGAAGAGGATTCTTTCAAGTCCTGGGTGTTCAGAGAAGCCCAGAAGGAGGAAGTCCGCTGGGGAGCTC